TCTCTTGTATATTTCCAACAACCTACAAGTAGTTACTACTGGCCAATGAGGAAAGAGGGTATAAGACAGTCGACAAATAACTTCTTAAACACCTATTGTGTGCCAGGCTCTGCTATATGGCACACTCAAGGTCACACAGAGATTCATGGTTGCAGGGACAGAAACCTAAATTAAACAACCTCAAGCAAGGGGACAGTGTGGCGGCACAAGTGCTTGGCATGTCAGCCACTGTGCCAACAGTGAAGGCCTTCAGAAGGCAGTGGCTGGTCTCCAGAAAGAGTCCAACTCCCACCACCCACCCCATACCCATGAGCAGGAAGAACAAGCAAGAAGTGGGTAGAGCTGGCAAGGCACAGAGGCCAGGAGGTGGTCCAGCTCCTGCTGCCGAGGCTGAGAAGGCAGTCATGTGCCATGATAATGAGAGACAAGATGCCCGGGCTGAGGATTGGGGGCCAGAGAACCAGTCCACAAAGGAGGGGAAAAGAGCAGATAAAAGCGAGGCCCACTGGCAGATCAGATGAGAAGCTCCCCCTTAGAGTTTGCACAGGTTCCTGCCAACCAGAGAGAGGAAACTCTTCTCAGCCCTGCTCCCTCTGATCACTGCCCTCCCTGGCTCTCCGCTTCCCTTGCAAGCTTCCTGAGAAGGCGCCATTGCACTTTCTATGCCGATGGCCCTCCGGCTTCTGTCCCCACCACCCACTAAAGTACCTCTGGCATCCTCCGCTCCCCTGCCTGCCATGGCTCATCCCTGCGTGCTCTTTCTCTGCCTGCTTCCTGAAATGCCGGTGCTCCCCGTGCTCAGCCGGACTCCCTTTTCTTCTCACTTGGCACACTTTCCCAAGGCTGCCATGTCCATTCCTGAGACACTCAAGTGTTTTTCCAGCCATCGCTGCCAAATGCTGACTGGACAGCCCACACGTCTCCACCCAGCCTGCAGAACATGGGACTCGCTCACTCCCAAGAACCTGGGAACAGAAAGTAGGCCTCACCTTCCCTCTCCAAACAGCTCGCCTCTCCCCCTGTATTTCTACTTCTACCACCACGGCACAACCAGCAGCCTCCCCTCCCCCATCCATTCAGGCCCCAAACTGTCAGTTGTACTTGAAACAACAATTTCCTGACTCCACTCTCTGGCGCACGTCTAGCCTAATCATCGCGATAACTTTTTGCTGATCTCACACACACTTCTCTCAACCTCAGGGTGCTTTCTAAGCATAAAGTTGGTCCTTCTTATTCACGGATTCTTTTAGGGGGAAAAGGATGTCCTAAAGCTAATTCCATACAGGCTTTGTGGACTCCACCCCCACCCCAGGCCAAAGCCAAAGACACTGGGAACTCCAAATCCCATCCCCACCAAAGGGAAGGTGGCTGGGACCCGAGGGTGGGGTTAAGCAGCCAGGTGTGGTATAAAGCCAGACACCTGGGCTTTGGAGGGGTTCCCCCATTTTGGCTCCCCGCCAGCTCGCAGCGTCCAGCCAGCTCTGAGAGTGACTCTGGGTTTCCAGGTCAGCGGATCGGGTAGGACGCATTAAAGACTTTATTTCCCTATTTTCTCCCTGAGTTGTACATTTCCTTAATTCCCTTTCCCTTGTAAGTAAACCTTTTATTAACCTTTTGTGTGTGCCTGTAGTGGAGTATTCATAAGTCCCTTGTAAGCGCGCGGGTGAGGAACCCACAGCCAGGCAACCCGTTTTATTTTATATCGGGGTTGCCCTATAACAATTCCACATTTGTGAGCTCATCCACTCACTTAACTGATTTGTAACCCCAAAATTAATACTCACGGTGCTTTTGCCATCATTCCCAGACACACATACAGCAGGGAAAAATTTAGGTACCCCAACCGCCCGCCCGACCCATTCCCAGGTCGGGTGGTACTAGGCTTCGCTCTGTCTTCTTGTTTCAGCCGTACTGTAAACAAGTGTCCTGTTGGAGATCGATTTAGTGCCGCCTTTTCCTGTTTTTGTGCTTTGGGGTGGTGGTTTCGCTGTCTAACTGGCCCCGAGTGTCATACCGAAGTGCTGTCTGTGCTCCCGAAGCACAGGGAGGCTGCCACATGCCTTCCAGAGAAAATCAATGTGTTTCATGCGCTCCGTTCAGGACGAGTTATCGCGCTGTTGGGCCTTGAGTCCACTGTACTAACTCAGCAACGTGTATTAACTAAGATGCCTTTAAAGAGAAGCACACACAAAACACGAGGGACGTAGTGATGGGTCATTGAAAATGGCCTGAGCAGAGCCTCGCGGGAACATCACCCCATGCATCCCCCACTGGCAACGGTTCAGGTTCTGTGAGTTCAGTGCTTATGGCGACTTCAGAGAATAAATAATTAGACTCGACTATGTCAGCCTGACCACGGAACTCTCTTCCTTCCCCCATGCACACATGATGAAACCGAACTCCTTAGTGTGGCCTTCCAGGTTCTTCACAGTCCAGAAGGTTCTTGCCGACCTTCCACCCTCTTTGCCTATGGTGCCCCCACCACACCCCTGCAGCCCACTGGCTAAAAGTCTTCCATTTTTGCAGGGGTCCTCTGCACACTCTGTGCCCTTGGCCTCAAAGGCCTCTCTCTGCCTGCTCTCCTCTTGGCGAACTCCTACACATCCTTCAACACCCAACTTAAATGTCACCGTCTCTGGGCTCCCGCTGGCAGAACTTGACACTCTCCTCTCTGTTTGAGTCTCTTCTAGCACTCCCACTGATCCCTCCTCTGTTGCACTCGCTTTGGAGGAAGCATGTGGAGGGGATAGATGTGTGTGACCCTCTCTTAGGGTACATACACTTCATATAGCATTCTCTCAACAATATAAATGGGACCAGGCACTATTCTAGGCACCAGGGGAACAACAGTGACTAAACTAAGCACTGCCCCCAAACTAAGAACATGCCTGACCCCATGCTCCTGAGTGTGACGTGCATGTACGTGTGGGCTGCATGCTGTGGACTTGCAGTGTGTGTGGCTCCTAGACAAACCGCTGGCTGGATTCCTACCCAGTGTGACCCATGGGATTCCAAAGGCATTTCAGAAGTTAATTAGACCAAGAAGCTGTGTCTGAGCTCTAATGAGAAGTCCTCCCAAGTGCTCCCCTCTGGCCTCCCCACCTCGCCCGCAGTCACTGCCTGGCCCAGGTTTTGCCTTCTGAACCCAAAGACAACATCCAGCCCCCTGAGGTTTTCTCTGGTGAATACACCTGTCCCCGACCTTTCTCTGCCTCTGCCACATCTCAGAGAAAAGTCGTGGGAATGAGGCAGAGAGGAGGGAGTCGTCAGAGTGCCCGCCACGTGCCCAGTGTGTGGGCAGCTCACAAGCATCATGGGGTTTTTAGACAGTCTTCCTTTGTGCCGGCCCTGGGCCTCCGTCGGCTGGGTAATCAGTGAGCAGCCTCACATGGGAGCTGATGATGTCGTCCCGCCACGCAGACTAGAAATGGAGCACCACGGGACAAAGGCCAGCAGTGCCAGGGTCCAGGTCCCTGGCCCGCCTGAGCCTCTGCTTGGCATGGCTCTTGGTGTTTCCTCAGAACACTCACAGCCCAGGATGTCTCACTGTGCAGTGGAGAGACAGGGAAATAGTCCAAGTTTAAAAGTCACAGAGTTGAGATTCCAAATGCAGAGTGTGGGCTCCAGATGCAGGGGCATGGGACCCAATGCAAGGGTGTGGGGCTCAGATAAGGGTCCTGGGAACCCATTGCAGCCGTGTAGGCTCCAGATACAGGAAAGGTTGGGCCCAAATGCAGGAGTAGGGCCTCCACGCAGGAGTGTGGGGCCCAGATGCAGAGACCCATGGCCTTCCCGGATCATCCCTGCCTCCCCTACCAGGCCTTGAGGCCCCTGGTCTGCACAGTCCCAGCCAGTCCCAGCCAGTCCCAGCCCCTTTTCCAAGGCCATTCCTGCATCACTGGCTGGAGACCCTGCCCCACCTTTCTGATCCTCTCATCTCTGTAGCCCAGCACCGAACACAGCGCCAGGCATGCAGCTGGACCTCAGTGCTGATTCTTGAATTTAAAGCAAGGTTGGGTGGCAAGGCCAGGGGCTTAGGAACAGGAAGCAGCCCCATGTCAGGGAAGGACAGGCATTGTAGAGGCTGGGAGAAAAGTGGGGCTGTGTGCGCAGCAGAGAAGGTAACCTCCCTGCCACCCCTCCTGCATGCAGTGTTAAGGTGGAAAGACCCCTGGATTCCTGCAGCAACAGTATGGTGGGGAGAGGGTGGGCTGGGCCCAGGCCCTGCTGTACTAGAGCCGTGTGGCTATACTAGATTTATCATCTGGGCATCAAGTCCAAGTTGGTGAGTTCCTGGGGGCCAGGGGCTGGTCCATTTTATGTCCCTAAAAATTTCTGTTGGTGTGAGTTGATGTGGTCACTCAACAGGTGGCTCCTGCCTGGAACAAACTCAAACTATTATAGTCTGATGATGATATAGAAGCTCAGAGCCATGGAAGTCCCCAGACAGGGCCCTCAGCAACCCAGAGTGGCACCATCAGGGTGGCTTCTTGGAATAGGCCAGGCAAAGAGAAAGGCAAGAGACGGTGCAACTGGTGGAGCCAAAGCATTTGGACTGGAGACAAAGTTGGGAATCATCAAGTTTCCAAAATAACTGAAGCTACAAGAAGGGAAGGCCACTGAGGACCAACTAAAAACCTGCCTTTAGAGGCCTCCGAAGTAGCAGTGGGGTATTTCCAGGGAGGAAAGAGAAGGCAGGGTGCACACCCACACGAGCCCAGCGGCAAGAGGCCAAGCAGGGGTCAGAGTGGACCTATGGCTCTCCCCTGAGAGAAAGTCAGGATTCTGGGCTCAGTGCCCTGGAAAGAGTGAATTCCTGAGTTTTCTGGGCCTGGGCAGAGGCCGTTGGGAAGGCTGGGGCCCAGCCAATGATAGTTGCAGCTGTGGCTCCTCCTCCCTGCAGGCAGCAGACTCAGGCAACTCCACAGGATCTGTCCCAGGAACAGGCTTCCCCAGACACCCTCTCTGGTGCTGACATGTGTTCCGGCCGCCTGCTGAGTCCACCTGCTGGCTGCCAGGAGCCGATACCCAGACAGCCCTGAAGAGTCTCCACTCAGGTAAGGCCACATGTGTCCAGATGTGCCCCTGCACCTTGGCACCCCCGACAGCGGGAGCCGGCTCTGATGGAGGGGCGAGGTGCCTGGAAACATCCAGGAGCGTCAGCCCCAGAGGAAAGGCTCCTCCCTCATTCCTCTGGTTTCTTCCCTGTTTGCTCTGGGTTTTTCCACTCTCTCCAGGGCAGAGTGGGAGCCAGGGACTGAGTGAAAGAGGGGCTAAGGGGGACGGAAATTGAGCAGGTGGAGCATCTCTGCCTGGGCCTGCAAAGCCCCGCCCCGCCCCACCCCAGGTGGGCTGGGCCAAGAGCCTCTGGGGACTCAGGGCTGGAGCCTCCCTGGGTGTTCCCAGAGAAGCTGCCAGGAGGTCCACCCACCTTGGGCAGGACTGAGCAAAGACAAGCTGATGATTCAGAGAAGAGGCCCCATGTCCAAGTGGTAGGTGGTAGAGACACAACAGCAGAGAGACAGGGTGGGGAGCAGAGACACCCTCAGCCTCTCTCACCTGGGATCCACCAGGTGGAGGAGGGAGTGGATACAGACAAGACAGACAGGAAGCTTCCAGGGACTTAAGGAAAAACGACGCAGGCCCAGACTGCGGGCTGTGGAGCCAGCCTGCCTGGGTTCGAATCCCAGCTGTGCCACTCATTCGTTAATGTAACTGTGAGCAAATTATTTAACCTCTCTGGACTCTGCTTTCCTCCTCTGTAAATGGGGAATAAAAATATGCTACCCCTTCATTCGTTTGCTGTATTAATTCCGACAGGGCGCTTAGAGCCTCGCCTGGTGCCGCATTAGCACCAGCAAACTCTGGCTTAACTCACAGCTCTGCTTATCCGCCCGGGGCCCCCGGGGTCAGAGCAGCGCAGGACCAGCAGCCTGGACCAGCCCCCAGAAGGGCCCAGGAAAACCCTGAAAGTTAGAGGCTGTGCAGGCAGATTCCCTGGGACCCTAGGGGCAAACCACAATGCGCGGGTCTCAGCGGACCCCCAGGGGCAGGCAGAGGAATTCCAAGTGAGGAAGTAGACACCCCTCACTCTGAGCAATGCTCACAGTCCTTAAAATGAGGTAAATCTGATTCCTGTGTGTTCATCACACCAATTCACCAGCAGAACTGACCAAAGGAACATTTCCCATTTTGGTGTCTTAACAAGGCTGTTTCACAAGATGATTTTAAAAAGAGAGAGAGAGAGAGAGAGAGAGTACTGTGGCTGATGGAATTTGGACAAGGTCACATATTCTGTCCACTTTCTAGAGATTTGCAATGTGAAGTAATCACATGGTCAAGTCAAGGAACCTATTTAGCTTTGCTGAAGGCAGTGGTGGCCTCCCTTCCCTGAACACCGAATCCTTTTCTCTTTCTGCTCCTATTGCCAGCCTATTGAACAGGGTTCCCGGGAACACCCATTTGGGAAACCCTGGAATGCCAGGCTTTCCTCTGGGAAGCCTGTTGTTTAAAGAGAACTGCCGCTCCCAACTGTGTCTTCCTGCAGCCTCGTCACTGCCCTCGCTGCCTACATATTCATGGAGCGTCAGCCCAGAAGGTCCCATATTCCTCTCCACCCCAAGTCAAGTCAAGGACAAAGAGCAGGGTCTCCGGAAGGGGCTGTCCGAGGGAGAGAGCAGTGCTCAGAAAGGCGAGGGTGCCCCCTGAGGTTCAGCCTCCCAGGAGGAGCGAGGAGGTGGGCGCAGAGAGAGAAGGCAGCGCACCCCTCCGCCGTCCCCTCGGGACCACAAGGCCGGAGCCCAGGCCCTGGGAGGAGTGAGTGGCTCCCTGGACCTGCCTTCACCTACTTTCATGGGTAAGAGCTGGGCTCTGCACTTAATTACTCGAGTCCCAGCTCTGTACCTAATAGTTGTGTGACCCTTAGAACGCCTCTAAACCTCCGTTTCCTCCACCTATAAAATGGGAACAATCACAAAATCTGGCTTGTCTGCAGCTGAGAATTAAACACCCTGACATATCCCCATAAAGAGCTCAGAGCGAGGTTTCTATAAACATGACAAGTGATTATTATCATTGCCCTGCAGCAGCAGCCAACGCCCGGACCCACCATGAACTGGGGGATCTTCGAGGGGCTCCTGAGTGGGGTCAACAAGTACTCCACGGCCTTTGGCCGCATCTGGCTGTCCCTGGTCTTCATCTTCCGCGTGCTGGTGTTCCTGGTGACGGCCGAGCGTGTGTGGAGTGACGACCACAAGGACTTTGACTGCGACACCCGCCAGCCAGGCTGCCACAACGCCTGCTTCGATGAGTTCTTCCCCGTGTCCCACGTGCGCCTCTGGGCGCTGCAGCTCATCCTGGTCACCTGCCCCTCGCTGCTGGTGGTCATGCACGTGGCCTACCGGGAGGCCCGGGAGAGGAAGCACCGAGAGGTGGTGGGGGACGGGGGTGGGCGCCTGTACCTGAACCCGGGCAAGAAGCGGGGTGGGCTCTGGTGGACATATGTCTTCAGTCTGGTGTTCAAGGCCAGCGTGGACGCCGCCTTCCTTTACGTGTTCCATTCATTGTACCCCAAATATACCCTCCCTCACCTGGTCAAGTGTCAGGCAGCCCCGTGCACCAACCAGGTAGACTGCTTCATCTCCAAGCCCTCGGAGAAAAACATCTTCACTCTCTTCATGGTGGTCACAGCCGCCATCTGCATCCTGCTCAACCTGGTGGAGCTGGCCTACCTGGTGAGCAAGAGGTGCCGGGAGTGCCTGGCTGCCAGGAAAGCCAGGGCCCCGGGTACAGGCCATCACCCGGGCAATGCCACCTCTCCCCACCAACAGGATGACCTCCTCTCAGGTGACCTCATCTATTTGGGCTCAGACACCCACCCGCCCCTCTTACCAGACCACCCTCAAGACTACATGAAGAAGACCATCCTGTGAGAGGCTACCTGCACAGGCTGATAGGCCCGGCCTGGCTTGGAAGGTTCCAGTGACTCTGACAGGTGCAGGCTTGTGTTGGAGATGCTGATGGGGCAGGCACAAGGGAAGGCAACCTGGGGGCAAAGCCCTATTCCTCAGCTCCTGTCCCCACAGTGTGGCCTTGGGCAAGTTACCCCCTACTCTGTGCCTCAGTTTCCTTTTGTGTAAAACAGAGATGCTGAAGCCCACCTCACAGGATTGCTGTTGTGAGGATGAATGTGCACAGAGCTTAATAAATTGATATCAGCTCATCTACACTCAAGGTGTCCTCTCTCTGGTCCTTCAGCTCGTGTGTTCCCCAGTGGGTCAGTGGACTAACCTCTCTGCCTCTCCAAGGACTACACTTGGTCTGCCATTTGAGGGGCCACCCCCACTCCCAGAAAGAGGGTCCCCTGCCCTATGGGTGGGGCGGTCATGCTGCTTGCTCATACACAAATCTAATCTTTAGCCCCATTTGTCACTTTAGGGCTGTGGGTTCCCTGCAAGAGAATGGAGCTCTGTGAGATTGTTTATGTCACAATGGAAAGTTCATGACTTTGAATGAGTCAGAACACTTGCATTTGAACCCAGGTTCCACTGGCAGTCCAGGAAAGTGACTGCCACCTCCAAAATGGGCTAATACTACCCCGAGGTAGTAGGCAACCCCCAAGGGATTGCCGTGAGGAAACATGAGCTCATGGCTATGGATGGGGGCTAGCTGACCGTGAAAGGTCACACAAATGTCAATGATTGCTTCTAGGAAGTGCCCACAAGGGCTTGTTTGGGGATGAGGCAGGGGGTCCCTCCCTGCCTGCTTATTAGCTTCCCTGGTGCAGCGAGCACTCTCTGGTCACACTACAACTGCCCTGAAGGCCTGCCCCAAGCCCAGAAGCCCAGGCCCACAGAAGACAGGCAGTCCGGCTGGATCTGGCCCTGTGCCAACTGGGGCATTTCATGCTGCCGAGCTGCATTTCCTGTCTCTACCAGGGCAGAGGGTACTCTCGTCGAGAAGAGTCATAGCCCTTGCCATCACCAACACAACTCATGAACAGCCCAAGCTCTAGCCCCCAGAAATGTCCCCTCAAGGGAAGCTCGAGGGTGGGACGAGCTTCTGATCTGACTCAAGGTCACCCCTTTCCATTGCCGAGGACCCTCAGAAGAGGGCAGGAGGGGGTCTTGGGACAAGGGGACAGGGGCAGTAAGGCAATGGGAAGAAGACAGGGGCAACGCCATGGGTGCTGACCTGGGCCTGGACACGAGGGTACCAGGCTCCTGGCGCTCGCCCCGCACCGCACTCACCTGCATATCTGCCAGTCCAGGAAGCCAGACCCAGTCGTGCCTGATGAGGCTGGAGAGAAGGTGTGGGCCAGGAGAGAGGAGCCGCAGGTGTTTATTCTGAGTATGTGCCCGGGGAAGTCCGCCCGCCGCCTGCCCACCCACCCGCTCGCTCTCATCTGGCTCATTGGCTCAGAAAGCCCCACCCAGCAGGGCAGTGAGGAACAAAAGCTGCCTCTAGGAGGCCCCTGGGCAGACAGAGGAGCCCAGGGACAGGAGAGCAGCCGCTGGGTCCAAGAAAGGTGAGAACCAAACTGGGCAGGAGGCTGGGCTGGGGTGCCAGGGCAGCGGGGGCCTGCTATCTCCAGCTGTGGGCTGGTCTTCAGGGAGGACCAGAGGCGACGAGGGTCAGGGTCCCTGAAGAAACTCAAGGGAAGCTCCAGGAGGGGAAGGAGTGTCCTGCTGGACCAAAGAGAGGCCAGGGAAGAGCCAAGGAAGGAGTGCGGGACCAGAAAAAGTGGGGCCTCAACTCAGTTTAGTAAATGTCATCATGTGTTCGCTGGGCTGGCCCAGCGCTGGGTCCCAGGGAGGCAGATGAGTGAGCTGCGGAGGCTGCATTCCTGAAGTTAATGGTCTGGTGCAGAAGGCTGGTGGTGGGACATTTGAGTGCTGGTGCTGCATCCTGCCAAGGAAGACGAGGAGGTTGCTCAGGTAGAAGAGGGTGCTCAAGAGGTGGCGGGGTAGAGGCTGGGAGGGGCGATGGAACATGATGTCCCTCCAGATAAGGGGTTGAGCAGATAGAGTACATGGGACAGGGACCAGACGGAAATAGTGGGAGACTTGGCTCGAAAATAGCCACGGAGCAGACAGAGATGGGGGTGTCCCTGCGAGAGAGAGTAAATGGTGGGGTCAACAGTGTACCTGAATCCTGTCCCTCCCTAGCACTGGAATGGTTGGAATTAGAGGAATTCCAACCTTGGAACAGTGGCTGGAACAGTCAGCCCTCAGGCCCAACACCGATGTGGGGGTGACAGGATGCTGCCAAGCCACCATGTTTCCAAAGAGCCTGTTTAGTTTGGGAGAGAGTGTCAGGGCTGGGGGCATCCCAGGGCCAGAGGAGGGAGGTGGCTCAGGGGTCTGCCCACAAAGCCATTAGGAACACTCCCAGCCTAGGATCTGGCTCCTGTTGGCACTCAATAAAAGTAGGGGAATTTGGAGGCTAAAGATAGAAGTGCCCCCCACCCTGCCCTGGTCCACCCCTGGCAGCTGATGGAAAAACAGATCCTCCAATCCAGCCCTTGCTGCTATCTCTTTAGAACTCGTGTGACCCGCAGGGCTGAAACTTAGAGTCAAAGAGGTTGGCAGGCATGTCCATGCAGGGCGACTATCATTCACATTTATCTATTACTTTATAGAATAAGACACTCTCTGACTCTGGAGCTGGAAGACAGAAGGTCAAGACTGACTGCCACTTCCAGCTGGGGTCTTGCGCGGGCGCTTCTCTGGGCCTTAGCTTACCCCACTGTGAAATGGGGACAGTGGCCATGCCTCCCCCGCCAACTCACTGCAACTGAGGACGTGATGGTGCAGAGGCTGTGAAACGGTCTTGCCCCTTGCACCTTTAATAAAGGGGGCACATTTCCAGGTTCTGCCCAACCTCCTGGCCCTGGGCCCTGCGTGGGAGCACTCAGGTCTACACCTGCCCACCTGAGGACACAAGGACACAGTCAGCATGAACTGGACATCCCTGCAGGGCCTCCTGAGCGGGGTCAACAAGTACTCCACGGCGCTGGGCCGCATCTGGCTGTCGGTGGTGTTCATCTTCCGCGTGCTGGTGTACGTCGTGGCGGCCGAGGACGTGTGGGACGACGAGCAGCAGGACTTCGTCTGCAACACCAAGCAGCCGGGCTGCTCCAACGTCTGCTATGACGAGGTCTTCCCTGTGTCCCACGTGCGCCTCTGGGCGCTGCAGCTCATCCTGGTCACCTGCCCCTCGCTGCTGGTGGTCATGCACGTGGCCTACCGGGAGGACCGTGAGCGCAGGCACCGCCAGAAACACGGGCCCAACGCCCCGTGCCTGTACGACAACCCCAACAAGAAGCGGGGCGGGCTCTGGTGGACGTACCTGCTGAGTCTCATCTTCAAAGCTGCCGTGGACGCCGGCTTCCTCTACCTCTTCCACCGCATCTATAGGGATTACGACATGCCCCGGGTGGTGGCCTGCTCCCAGGCGCCCTGCCCCCACACCGTGGACTGCTTCATCTCCCGACCCACTGAGAAGAAGGTCTTCACCTACTTCATGGTGGCCACATCCGTGATCTGCATCCTGCTCAACCTCAGCGAGATGTTCTACCTGGTGGGCAAACGGTGCGTGGAAACCCTCAGCCCCAGGCGCCGGGAGGCCCGTCGCCGGAGTCACCTGACCGATTCGTGCCCACCATATATCCTCTCCCAGGGAGAGCTCACCCCGGATGGGAACTCTGTCCTAATGAAGACTGGGTCGGTCACAGTGGATGTGAGTGGGTACCCATAACCTGCAGGATGACGGCCAGGACACTGCCTACTTCCCAAAGGCAGTGGCATCTTCTCTGCAGCAGGAAAGTTGTGGGAGGCCACCCACGGGCCAGTGATGGGGGTCAGTTTGGTCTCTGGGTCCTAAACCTCAGGGAGGGGGAGGGTTTGATGGCTGGTGGGGATTTTGTATATGGACATAGGGTATATCAAAACCCTAAATAAATGTGACTTTCCCAGTACTTTGCAGACCAGATGGGTAGTAATGTGTAGCAGGGGGCTTTACGATGGACTCAGTGGGCACCTGAGCCCCAGAACCTCAGATCCAGGGCTCACCCATCACACACACACACACACACACACACAGAGCGTATCCCCAGGGCATGGTGGAGAAGGCCCAAATGCAGGCGCACCTGGACTAGCTGACCATCGCAGGAGTGGAGCCCCAGGAGACCCTGGGCCCACACATCGGTTCCCAGGAAGTGCTGCCCAGGCAAATGTGGGTGGCTCAGGAGACTGCTGGCTCCCCCATTCCTACCTCCCTAACCTGCCAGCCCAGGATCAGGGAGGTGAGTCCCCTCTGAAGTCGGAGGGGAAGGCCTGGAAAGGATGGAACAGCACTGAGAAAAGGCCATAGCAGGGGCCTGCCGGGGTGTCTAGAAGGCTTGTGCCACAGACCAGGGGCCCAGTGGGCACACCCAGGAAAAAGGGTCCCTTGTGGATCCTCAAGTCTGGGAGTTTCCCTGGATACACATTCCCTCGTCTCCCGCCCCTACCCTTGCCAATCAGACCTCAGCAACTCCCCAAACTGCACCTCAGGCCTGCTCTGCCTCTGAGTCCTGGAACCCCTGCCCACCACCCCACAACAGGACAGCTCTCCTGAGGCCTCTGGGCCTCTCACACTCAGCAACTCCCAGGCTGACAGTGTCATCTTCCCCCAAGCCTGCCCTCCCCTGCTCGTCAGCCACCCCACAAATGGTGCTGACATCCATCCTACGTCTGACCAAGCTGGACATTGACCTGACACGCCAATCCCCTCCCCATCCCCAAACCTCTCACATCCCAGTGCCACACCAAATCCCACCAACTCCAACCCCAAAGGCCTCCTGAGTCTGTCCCTTCTCTTACACTCCATAATCTTACTGCCCTCACTGGGCTTTCCCTCCACTAGGAGGACAGAGTGGTTTTCTTACACCCAAATATGACGGTCATCCCTCCTGCTTAAAATGCTTCCAGCACTTCCCACCCTTATTGCCCTCCATCTCCCACTCTTATCTCCCCAGCCTCACCCCCCACCCCTGCTCCACCCCACCTTGTACCCACCAATAATTCCAAAGGGCTCCTGGCTCCCTAATCAGACACATCAGGCCTCCTCCAGCTTTGTCACATCATCCTGCTCTCCCCTCAGCCTGGAACACCCTTCCTCCCGGCTCTGAGACCCTTCCTCAAGCCCGAACAGCCTTCTCCACTGCCTTCTCCTCCATTCCATTCTCACCATAGGTCTGTGAGCCCCTCGGGGCCAGGATACTGAGTCATCCAGGTCCCCAGCTGCCTTCAGTAAATGGTTGCTACATGAGTAAATGGGCTGTAAGCTGCTTGGTGGAAGGGCCCGTCTCTTGTTTATCTGATTCCACCACACCTTTCCCAGGCAGTTCAGCGAAGTGTTTTCTAATTTGTTCATATGTTTTGTGTCATTTTAACTAAATCCAGCCTAGAGGTCTCATTTCTCAATGAGGAAACTTTGGCCTAGAGACAGGGGAGGAGCTCTCTGTCAAAGACCACGTCGCCTGTGGTCCATGGAGAGCCTCCATACCCACTCTTGACTTTGGGACAAGATCAGCATCCCAGGATACAGAGCCAGTGGGAAGGAACAAGGGGGTTGAGCTAAGCAGTTGGGCTAAGGCAAACATGGCCTTGACCTGATCCCTGTGGGATGAGGGGCCTTTGGATCATAAATCTCGCCACCGAGCTGTCCCCTCTGGTGGTAAGGTCATCACGCTGTGGAATTCCCTATCAGTCAGCCATTGGCTTCATCTCATACCAAGGGCAGCAGGGCTGGCAGGAAAGCATAACTGGCTTCCACACAGTCAAGGCCAATTCTCCAGGGGCAGATACGAGTCATGAGTGGCCAGGGTTTACCATTCAGGAATGAGAGTCCCCCAGAAAAGGGGACATGGGCATAGCACCAATACCAACTACTGAACTTCTGAGCCCAGGAAACAAGGGTTGCCCCCTACTCTAATCCAGACCAGAGCTGTGACCACCCAACCCCAGAGAACAGAGACCCTCCCAATCAGTGTAGAAGCACGTGGCCATACTGCTCAGACCCAGGTAACTCCCCAGTGAAGCCAGGGGACCAGCCACAGTCCACTCCCCCTAAGATTCCAGATTCCCCAACCCAAGGGCGGCGCTGGGGGAACATGCCGTGTGCACATTCTGTGCTGAGGCCTCCGTCTTCATGGGTGCTGTTCCCGGAGTTCTCAAGTCCTGAGCCAGGTGGAGACCCAACCCCATCTTCCCAGCCTCAACCCCCAATGAGAGCGGGGAAAAATCCCCTGGGAAACACTGCCCTATCTTCAGTCCCCACCCTCTCGAGACCCCCACATGCTCCCACCACCCCTCCCAGAAATTTCCACCTCCACCTTCTTGAAATTTTCCATGTAGCTTGGGCCCCTGCTTTCTCTTCCACCCCCTGCCCTGCCCCATTGCTGCCACCCACTTCTCATTCATGACGGGCTTGAACCCGTGACTCAGGGTCCCCTGGAATTCTCCCATGACCCAGGGCACGGGAACCACCTGTGCGTCTCTTGGTCCTTTTCATCCTGTGCCTCCTCCTCACTCCACTTAGTTGCCTGCTCCCTCAGACCTTCCCCAGAACTGCTCTGCCTCTAGACTCTTCTGTTTGATTCAAGTCGGCAAATATTTATTGTTCACTGTCATGGGACAAGCCCCGTGCTAACTGCTGAAGATTTGTCTGGGAAGACTCAGGCACTGCCCTGGCTTCAAGGACTTACATTCTAGCAGAGAGGATTGCTGCTGGACTCGTGGCAGGCTGGGGAGCACAAGGACCTCAGGGCAAGTCTAATCCAAACAGCAGGATTCCAGGAAAAGATCCCCTGAGAATCCTTAACCTGACACCTAGGGACGAGGAGGTTTTGCCAAGCAAAGGGTTGGGGGAGGGGGGTGCACACAGAGGGTATAGCAAAGGAAGGCCGAGAAGGGAGAGCAAGCCTGATGACAAGGCTGACAGGTAACTCGAGGGCTTGAGCCAGCTGAGGCGGCCCGAGTAAGAGTTAGGTGGAAGCACACAGGACTCGGCCATGCAGTAAAGCCCTTTTCCTGACGTTATGCTTAAGGCAATGAAAAGTCACTGGAGAAACTGACCCAATTTGCTGTGTGGTTACAGTGTGGAGGGGCCACGGCAGGACTGCTACCTGTTCAGAATCTGATAGAAGAGTCGAGAGAAAAACAGCAATCTCCTAAAACAACCTCGGGTGTGGGCAGCAGAGATGGAAAAAAGTAGCTGTGTTTGGGAAATGTTTATGAAATAGAATCAAAAAGATCTGGCGATTTGGTTGGGTGTGGGATTCAGGTAAAGAGAGGAATCAAAGTGACACCCAGATTTCTGGCTCTGCTTGGTGGGGCCGTTTCCCGAGGGAGCCCCAGTGGAGGAGCAGGTTTGAGGGACATCGGTAACCTCAGTTGCAGACGTGTTGAGTTCCAGATACACAGACACCTGGTTACCCTGTCGTTTGTGGGCCATCGCGGGCCCTGGGTGTCTGACTACGTCTGCACTTACTGTCGGTCTTGGTGACTTCACATCCAACAGGTTGACCTCCCGGTCCCTTGGCTTCCTTGTATCCAGTGATGTTTATCTCCACCCAAGGAACCCCACACATGTATATGCTCACACCCGAGACCTTATCTCCACCACACGCTGCATCATCTTCCGGCGATATCTCAAGCACTCCAGCTCCCTCCGCCTCCAGCGATCCTCCTGCCCCATCTGTTGATTCATCACTATCCCCATCACCCCTTCTCAGGCCCTCCCCTCCCTCTCTCAGGACTTCAACTCCGTGTAGTCGCCAACTCTTAGGTGTCCTCCACTCCCTTGCTTTTCTGTGCTTCTAGAGTTACTCACCTGGCAAGACCCTAAATCCAGTTAAACCCAACTCACCCATTCCAGAGACCCAGAGAACAATACAACTGGACCGACTGGTTTCAAATAAAAACTTCTGACCACAAAAGTCAAATGGGTACTCAGCACCAACAAGAAATCCCATATTTTCCAAAAATTTTAATCTTATTTTCCAAAATAAGACTATCCTATCATCCCTTCTCCTCTTCCCGCAAAACTTCAGCCCCTGTTCGAACACTCCACTCTGCTGGTAGCCAGGCATCATCTGCCATGGGAAATAGAAGCAATAGGAAGTTCTAGCTCAGCTGCCCACCACCAGGTCTGCCAGCCTCCTGGCATGAGTGCTAGTTTGCTCTGTCTTCTCCCTTTAAGGTGAGTGAGGATATCTCCCTTCTTCTGGTACATTCCTTTTGGATGCTGGACCCCATCACCTCTCACCTACTCTGGACAGTGATTCATGGTTCTGCCTCACAATTCCCCTTTCTGTAAATATGCCGTAATATTTTCATCTCTCACTTTTCTTAATTCTCTCTTGGCTCCACATCCTTCCTCAACTACTACCCCTGCTACAAAAACAAAATCTTCCAAAAGTTGTCTGTCTTTGCTCTTTCCATCTCCTCATCACTCGAGTTAACCACTCCAGTGAAGACTGCTCTCGTCAGGATTACCAGTGGCCAACGAGTTGCCAAATCCAATAGTCAGTTTTTCATCCTCATCCGACTCCCTGTGCAACATTTGACCAGTGAGAGCTTCTTGCCTGACCACCGTCTTGCCATGGCTTCCAGAGAGCCCTCTCTCCTGACTTTCTTCCTCCCCGCTGGTGGGTCTTTCATGTTTTCCATCCATACCTTCTGCTGATCTCTACATGCAGAGTGCCCTGGGGCCCAGTTCTCTACCCAATTTTCTCCTCTCTATATATTTCCCCCCCTATGATCTTGCCCAGTGCCATCTATAAAACCATCTATAAAATGGTGACTCCACATTTTTATGTTCAGACCTAACCATTTCCGTGAGTGTGAGACGCAAGTACCCAACTTCCTAATCATCATCCAAAAACAGAAGCCCTGACCCCTCTAACAGAG